CGGGTTTCTTATACGCCTCAAGGAAGTGGCCTTGTGGTTCAGTCCACTTCTGGCTCAATGTCCGGAAGTTTACGACTGGACTCAGGTACACCTGTGAGTCTGCCCTGTGTAGATCAGCCTTGAACTCTAGGCCAGCCTAGGGTCATCCAGGGCCATCCAGGGCCATCCAGGATTGCAGCCACACGAGGGCCTGGTGCAGATCTGACATGGTCCCAGCCAACCCCTCTGCGCCCGTTGGTTTTCTGCCACTGAGAGCACGCCCCGGATCCTTCAGAAGCGCAGCGCTTTCCTGGGCATAGTCCTGCCATTCCTGCACTCCCTTTCCTTGTTCATCTCTACCCAGAACACCTTTCTCCTCGTTGCCTGGCAAATCTCCACCTGCCCTTGCAGGTTTTATTTAACTCGCATCTCCTCCATCTGGGAGCCCCCAGGCCACGCTTTTCCTCTGAAGCAAGTCTCTGAGTTCCATCTATCCTGACATTTGCCAGGTTAATGGATAATATTCTGGCTGACTCCTCCACTAGACTGTCCATTCCTGGTGAGCCCAGCAGCAGAGGGGAGGCATTTCCAAATGACCAAATGACTTTGGACTGGTCTCAGGGTTAAGCCACACACTCATGGGATTTGGGTCAGGGTTAAGAATCCGATGAAATCTGGGCTCCCAGAGATCTGTTCTTGGCTGAAAGACGGTCAGACATGTGAATTCTTCCATCAGGGCAGGGCAGAGTGGAAGTGACCGCCCATTTCTGGAGGCAGTGCCGAAGCAAACACACAATTCATTTATTTCTCACACATTTCTGACAAAGGGGAGGAAGAAACAACCCTATAATTTCAGTTGAAGTGTCACTGGGCAAACAGACATAACTTCTGTAGGACTGGCTAATGTATGGAAGGTAAAAGAGACTTAGGGATTTTTGTATGTGCTCTGAAGTTGTTGCAACTTATCTGCTTTCATGACAGAGTTCTAATGGATTTGAAGGGTGGCAGAAAAATAGCAGGAAGATGTAATAATAAGAGCCTTATAGAATCATGGAATGTAAGCACTTCAAGTGATCTTTCAGACCAATTACTGGTTTACAATCATGAGTCCATGATAACATTTTTATTGGTCTACAGAAAACATAGATATATTTGGATAATCTATCACATTTCTTTAAAAAGCAAGATGAATTCAATTTAAAGGGGTGTTCTTTATTCTGAGATTAAAATTTCCCCACTTTTGTGCTGTTAAAATATTTTCTTTTATAAAAAGATGGTGATTATAAATGGCAGCTTGGGTTTTAGAAAAAAATAAATGTAGTCTATTTCTTCCTTTTTTTTTTTTTTCCCAATAGGCTCCACGCCCAACATGGGATTTGAACTCAGGATCTCAAGATTGAGAGTCACATGCTCTACTGACTAAACCAGCCAGGCACCACTAGTCTATTTATTTCTGTTCCTCATTATTACCTCGGTTAGTTTAAATTATTTTTTAAAATTGAAATATATATACATACATTCCCATTAGTTTTAATAGCCCTATATTTATGATCGCTTTCTAACTTGGCAAAATGAAAAGCTGGGCAACCCCATGTAAGTCTCTCAAATTATTTTTTAAAGAAAATTTACAGGTCCATAATATTGGATTGAGTTCAACATCCCTCCCATTTGCAGAAAAGGAAATGAGGGCGTAGGGAAGTTAAATGTTAAAGCATTACACATACACGGAAGGCTGCCTAGCGAGTTAACAGCAGAGCCCAGACCAAAACCAGGGCTCTTGCCTCCCAGGGTCCAGAGGCCTTACAGCCCTATTCAGCTTCACTGGTGTTCAAAATTAGTAAAGTATAGAATTTGATCCTAAAACCATTCACAGTGCAGACCTGAGCTGACCATGAGTTTTCTGCATCCCATTAGACTACATGCTGAGCTCTACGGTGCTTTGCCACAATTCTCTCTTACCATCATGACAAATAATCTTTATGCGGCATGAGTTACACATTTCTGTGATTTTCATCTGATCAAAATGCAACAGGACAACATAAGATTTTATAAATATACACAAATAAATATGCACTAATTTCATCACCTCCACCTAGAAGCTACTGATTCATTTTCTTCCTTTTCGGTCGCAAACCAGCAACCGCCACCATTTTCCCTTTGGAGTTCACAATACGGAGTTCTAATGCAATCCTGCGGCATCTAGGACAGGATGGGCCGGCTTACTCATCCTCACGCTGAGTCATGCAAATATCAGAAGATGACACATGTTACCAAGACAAATGTAAAAGCCTTTAATCCCAGCCCTGGAGCAAGGAAAACTGCGATGCACAAATTTTTAATCCATTTATCTTGATTTCTCGTTATTATTCTAATTAGCTCTGTAGTCCCTATATTTATGGGTTTCTAATTCCTGCTGTTCACAGAAGCTGCTGCTTAGTATGCAGGCTCACATTCTTACCATTTTCCTCATACAAATTTTGAACTAGTGGCCATAAACACAACCCCATTATTTTAAAGACGCCCAAATAAAACAAAAGCCCTTACCTATAAAGTAAGGCAAGTGTCCAGGAAAATTAAAAATAATATCTTACTTGGAGCCCTGGGCTTTTTAAAATTTTTTTTAAAAATTTGAAATAATTTTAGACATCAGACAGGTTACAAAAATTCTACATCCCTGGGGGTGCCTGGCTGGCTCAGTCAGTACGGCGTGCGACTCTTGATCTCAGGATTGTGAGTCTGAGCCCCACGTTGGGGGTAGAGATTTCTTAAAAATAAAATCTTAAAAAAAAAAAAAAGTACATCTCTGTATACCTGTCCTTTCCCCAATGTTAACATCATAGATAACCATGGTACAATGATCACAACTAAGAAATTAACACTGGTTCAATACTATTAACTACACACTTCCCTAGAATTTCACCAGTGTTCCCACTAAGGTCCTCTTTCTGGCTCAGGATCCAGTCCAGGATCTCCCATTGCATTTAGTTGTCCTTATATTCTCAGTCTCTTCTGTGACCATTCTTCAGTCTTGCTTCAAGGCCACCATGACCTTGACACTCCTGAAGAGTACTGCTTAATTATTTTGTAAACTGTCCCTCAACTGGGTTCATGGGATGCCTTCTCCTGAATGGAATGAGGTTAGGCATTTCTGACAGAATATGACACAGATGATGTGCTTTTCCAGGACATCATATGAGGAGGGTACAATACATCTTATTAGTGGTGATGTAAAACTTGATTACTTATGATGATGCCCTTGGCTTCAGAGTGCTCATATTCTGTCATTCTAAGCTCTTTACTAGCAGAGGAGACAAGCAAAGTAGTAGCACCCTTCCAGGGAGTGGGAACGGGGAAAGGCCTTCCTGACCTTCCACGAGTAGCTGCCAGCAGATGGGCTGATGGAAGGCTGGAACTCTGAACGGATGCCTAAGAGAGCGGAACACAAGACAACAGGGCTCTGACAAAGGGGCTCTGACCTAGCACCTCTAAGTCGCTGTCACACAGTCAGGAGATCTTGGCCAGCCAAGCAAGGGGCAGCAGGCAGCAGCCCTTCTTCCCAGGGGAAGGGGAGCTCATGCAAAAGTGTTTGTGTGGTTCTGGATTTCTGCTCTTCTTTCCCTTCATCCTCTGCTTTTGTTTACTTTGGTTTTCTCTGGCTAAGCCTTCTACACTTACCTCAGCTCTGATTTTTTTTTTAAAGATTTTATTTATTTGACAGAGAGAGACACAGCGAGAGAGGGGACACAAGCAGGGGGAGTGGGAGAGGGAGAAGCAGGGTCTCCACTGAGCAGGGAGCCCGACACGGGGCTCGATCCCAGGACCCTGGGATCATGACCGGAGCCGAAGGCAGACGCTTAACGACTGAGCCAGCCAGGCGCCCCCTCAGCTCTGATTTTAATGAAATCCAAATAAGAATATTTATCTACTGCTTTGGGGTAATTACCTCAAGTGAATTTCTATAAGCTGCCACAAATAACAGCACCCCTGCGAGCCACCTTGCTGTCATCCGTCTGTCCCCTGGAGGCAGATGGCAGTGCACCTGCAATCTAGTACAAATCTACACCACTTAATCCTGGAGACAACACAGAAACCAAGTTTGTTTGGTTTGTTTCTTCCTTTCTTTCTTGTTTTTAATTGAGATATAATCCCATACCACAAAATTCACCCTTTTAAAGTACACAGGTTAGTAGTGTTTAGTATATTTACAGATGTTTAGTATATTTACAGGATATTACCATCACCACTATCTAATTCCAGAATCTTTCATCACCCCCTACCAAAAATATCTTGTACCAGTTGTCACTCTCCATTCCCTTTGTCCCCAACCCCTGGCAACCTCCTCATGTACTTTCTATCTCTATGGAGCTATGGATTTGCCTATTTGTACTAAGGTAGTTTTGATCACAAATAATAATAACCAAGATGATCTCAATCCAGTTAACCTAGGAGGCGCACCACACACACAGACAAACACACACACCCATAAGGCTTGAGTTTGGTAACACCTCACCTTCCCTTTTGATACTTTGGACTCTCCATGCTACCCCACCCCCCCACAACTGTGTCTCAGAGGTGACACATGCATTGTCTTCCTCAGGGTCCAACCTTTCCTCCTCCATCTAAAACCACATTGTGTTCTGTCAGTGTCCTGCACTGGGGAGGTAATGCTGAGGTAAATTTAGCTCCGCTGAGGTGCTAAGAAGTACCTGATTTACATTTTAGCAGAGAACTCTTGCGGCCTAGGGCTCAGCTAGGATCGCCGTCTGACCCAGTTTGTTTAGAACTGCCCAGTTGCCCCAGCTTAATTATTAATAGCATCCCCTTTCCCTCTCAAAAGTGCCCTGGCTTGGGTGTTTAATTATATGGTCACCCAACCTTAACCCACATAAATGACTAATCACGGTAATTATAGGCAATCTGGTGGGCCAACAGAGAAAATAAATTTAGGTAAATGAGGTTTCAGTACTCTCCCAATCACACCCCAGCTCTGCATTCCCGTAAAAACGTTGAAGTTCACCAACCTGTAGGAATCAGGGTTTCATCCACAGGCAAAAAGGCATCAGCCTCTATAATGACTTCATGGTCGTATATGTTTGGGGAACCCTGGGGCAGAAAGATAGAGAAAGAAAAGAAGATCTAATGCTTAGTCTTATTTTGTATTTTTGCTTTTTTTTTTTTAAGATTTATTTATTTGAGAGAGAGAGCACGTGAGCTGGGAGGTGGGGTGGAGGGAGGGACAGAGGAAGAGGGAGAGAGAATCCCAAGCAGGTTGCACGCTCAGCGCTCAGTGCTCAGCGAGGAGCCCCACGCAGGGCTCGATCCCACGACCCTGAGATCATGACCTGAGCGGAGATCAAGAGTTGGACACCTAACCGCTTGAGCGACCGAGGCGCCCCAGGTATTTTTGCTTTTTAACTTCTCCGCAGAAATGTTTTCAGGCATTGACAAACACTTTAGAAATCCCATTTGACCTATGGCGACGATTAATATGTTCATTTAAGTGTCGGTAGATAGGTCCTCAACACAGCAACTGATACATTTGAAAGAAGTTTTTTTTTTTTTAAAGATTTTATTTATTTATTTGAGAGAGAGAGAATGAGAGATAGCATGAGAGGGAAGAGGGTCAGAGGGAGAAGCAGACCCCCTGCCGAGCAGGAAGCCCAATGTGGGACTCGATCCCGGGGACTCCAGGATCATGACCTGAGCCGAAGGCAGTCGCTTAACCAACTGAGCCACCCAGGCGCCCCTGAAAGAAGTTTTTGAGGGTGACCCCAGCATGCATCTTCTTGTCTAAGTGGAATTACAAGTGTGAAAAGTCAGAGAGACTTCAGTGGTTTGAAAGACTTTTCGACTTTGGCTTATTAACAGAGGGGTTTCTCCCACTCTCCCCACATGCTAGGCAAACAGAAGAGCAAGAGTTGTTGACCTGGAACACACAAGTGCTGGATGGCCAACATCTTGCCTCCAGGCTTGGAGGTGGGGTACCCTGTCCCCCTTCTCTGGCCCAGCTCCACCCAGAGGACCCACTCTGTACCACAGGACAGAAGCCCAGCAGTCAGAAGTAGAGTTCCTGCATTTGGGAGCTCGCTCATCTCTTCCATTAAAGATGCAGCCTGCCTGCCCGGGGGAGTCAAAGACGGGTCAGTAGCCAGAAGGCCTGGGGTCTAGTTCTGGCTCTCATCGAGTGGCCCCAGGGAAATCACTTAGCCTAGAATCTCTTGTCCTTCAGGGTAAAACAGGCCAATGATGCTCCTTTTCCACCTTTTCCAGGCTGTTTGTGAAGGGCAGTTTAGTAAAGCTATGTTGTGCTGCTTGCAAATTGGCAAGGACACATACAGGTTTCTGATAAAAAGGATTATATTTGAATAGTGTATTTTCAAGCTTCACAGCAGAAGTCATGGAAGGGGAACCAGGTTCCCCTGGAGAAGGCTTCTCCTTGGTGAATGCTCAAAACTAAGCTCAACTAGTGCTTCTCAACTGGGGATGATCTTGCCGTAGGGCAAAATTTGACAATGTTCTGGAGACATTTTTGATTGTCATGACTGGAGGTGGTAATGCTACTGGCATCTAATGGGAAGAGGCCGGGAATTCTGCCCAATGCCCTATAATGCACAGCCCTGCAACAAAGATATTGTCTGACCCAACATGTCAATGCGCTCGGGTTGAGAAACTCCGAGCTAAGCTAAACTGAAAGCTAGGCTGGGTAATTGAGAAGCAAGCAGAGGGAGGCAGAGCCCTGTGGGTTAACCGAAACAGATCGTCTCGTCAGAAAGACTTAGGCCGGGGCACCTGAGTGGCTCAGTTGGTTGAGCGACTGCCTTCGGCTCAGGTCATGATCCTGGAGTCCCGGGATTGAGTCCCACGTCGGGCTCCCTGCTCAGCAGGGAGTCTGCTTCTCCCTCTGACCCTCTTCCCTCTCGTGCTCTCTATCTCTCATTCTCTCTCTCTCAAATAAATAAATAAAATCTTTAAAAAAAAAAAAAAAAAAAGAAAGACTTAGGCCCACACAATCAAATGGAGTTGTCCTGAGGAGAAATGCCAGGATTTTTGAGACCATGAGAATCTATGTCTAAACAGGCCAGAAATTGCTTTAATTACGCTCCAAGGAGGCTCTGTTCCTCAAGAACTGCCTTGGTCTTGTGCCCTTCCGGTGGATACACATGGGCAGGGGTAGGAGGGAACTGGAGACAAGGCCAGGGCAGAGGCCTCTCCTCTGCTCCCATAGTCTCTACCTTAGTCACTCGTTTGGTTCTGACCTGAGAAGGGAGGTCCAAAATGGGAGGGGTCTGCACCACCACCTACAGCAGCTCTAGACTAGAGGGGGTCTCTCCTGGCGGGCTCCCCCTACTCCCATCCCCTCATGCCTCAGGGGTCCTGCCAGCACCAAAGAGGCCTCTGGGCCTGAGGGAAGCAGAGATGAGGGAAGAGAACTGGGGACTGTTTCCTTGGCTCTATCCACTTGATGCTCAGCTGAAGGTTGAGTAGTATTCCATTGTACGAATATTTGGTAGACTGTTGCTTGTTTCCAGTATTTTTACTACTATGAATAAAGCTGCTTAGGAATTTCCTTTTTTTTGTTTGTTTTGTAGCACTAGGGCAGGAAAAAAATGATTCAATCACACACCAAATAAACTGATGAGTCTGAGAGGTTAGGAAGAAGCCTGGGTTGGGGGAGAAGGAAAAGAACATTTATGAGAGAGCCACTCCCTTAATGCATCGGGTCACCAAGCGGCACCTATGTTCCTTTATGAAAGGGAAGCAGGCTTCATTTTACCATTCTTCTGACCTGGACTAATTCAATGATCCACTCTGGTGGAATATTCCTGCTGGATTCATTTCCTTTCTAGGCTGATGAAAACCTGGCAAGGAAGGCTGATCCACCAACAGCTCTTGAGGCCCATCTCTGGGTTCACTGTTGGTTTTGGTTAGCTTTGCTCAGCTGCTACTATTTCGGAACATTAACCATTTATAAAGCCCTTTGTGGCCTGCCCAGGGCTTTACAGACCTCTCTGTGCGTTGCCACTAGGACCGCCTTCATTCAGCTCTCCTGACCTTCTGCAGGGTAGCACCGACACTCGAGTACTCCCCCAAGCCACCGCAACTCCCTTCCTGGCACCCTTGTTTGCCCCTGGCAGAGCACTGACTTGTTGACTCGTCCTGTGCTAGAGTCATATGCTCAGGGTAAAGGACGCCCTCCCTAATCCCACCGAGTGGTCCAATTCCCTTGCTGGTACTCGGTTAGGCAGGGCATGGGACACACTTCTGGCCCATGAACTGGGAGGCAAAGGCTGCTGGAGAGCCTCTGGGAAAAGTTTTGTTTATTCTTAAAAATGGAACATTAGAGATATGAAAAAAAGGAATAGGCTCTTTTTTGCCTCTGGGTGCGACTACACGAAGACATGATTCCTGGAGCTGTGGGTCACAACCGTCTTGTGGCCAGGAGACAATAAGCCCGAAGACAAGAGCCAAAACACTGAAGAGGCAGAATGGGAAGATGGAAGAACCTGGGTCTTTGCTGACATACCTCTCCAGTCAGGCTGGAACCCCACTATCGCCTTTCATCTCAAACTCCCCCCAGGCTGCTCCATTGCCCCGTTCGGGGTTAGGTAAGTAAGGAACAAGGACAACAAAGCTCAAACAACCTGCAACCCATATACCTTTTCCATTCTTTGAAAAACACAGTTCTCTGCTCCCCCCAGGCCATCAACACTCAATCTTAGAAGTGATGAGTCAAAATTTGGCCCCAGGTAGAACAAACATATTGCTTATTAAATTTAAAAAAGAAATAAGCAAGCAACAAGCAAAAATACATAAGATGAGCTGACCACTTTAAATGATCAAGTTTTGAGTTATTTCCCTGGGGAGGGTTTAAGACACATAATAATGCTTTGCTGGGTAGGGTAAGAGATGTTCTGAAGATGCAGAGGCCCCTGGACCCCAGGCCTGGTGAGTGACCACCCACTCTCATCAAAGGGCCCCAAAGGGCTAATGGCCCTCTCCCATCCTCAACCCTGAAGCTACTGGCTGTGGATTCCAGTTGCACTCACTAAGACAGTAGACAGAAGGGAGTTAACATTGACTACCCCTGTGGGTGGGTCTGTGATCTGCGAGGGTCCTCCTGCCTGGTAAATGGACAGAGCCTTAGTGAACCTGCATTCCCATTTTGTCTCCTTGATTGGAATACATCAGAAGATAGTTACATATTTAATGTATAATTTCCATATCTGAATCTATTTCTTTAGATTATAAAATCGGATGTCCTAAGTATACAAAAATGTGGAAAACAGTAAAAAATCACCATGATCTACTACCTTTAAAAAACCACCAATAGTTTCTTTCTGAACTTATTAGAAAAGGTAGGGTCTTTATGCACAGTATTGCAGAGCCTCCTACGGCTGGACATGTTTGTTTTGGTTTTGGTTTGTGGTTTGTCTTTAAGATTTTTTTTTTTTTAAAGATTTTATTTATTTATTTGACACACAGTGAGAGAGAGAGAGCACAGGAGGGGGAGCGGCAGACAGAGGGAGAGGGGGAGGGAGAAGCAGGTTCCCTGCTGAGCAAGGAGCTCGATCCCAGGACCCTAGGATCATGACCAGAGCTGAAGGCAGACGCTTAACCGCCTGAGCCACCCAGGCGCCCCAGTCTTTTAAGATCTTAAGGAGGACAGTGGAAGTTTCTGAGGGTAAGCAATGGGCAAGTTTAGAATTCTCTTTCTTTATTTTTAAGGGGAGAACTTTGGAAATTACATAAGAACCAATTAATTTGTGCTATTTGGAAAGATCCTAGAAAAAAAAGCAGCACATCGTCAGCAGACTCCTAAAAGAGTGTAAAAATGCAAGATATTACTAGTTGGCTGTGAACATCATCTTGTGGTAGGAAATCATGCCAAAGCGATTCAAGTATAGTAGACAATGATGAGCTTTTTAGATGAAGAGGAAGTAATAGATAGAGTCTACAGAGTTTAGCTAAACTTTCTACTCTCTGCCTCATGTAACAGCCTCCTCAACAAGCTCAAATATTACCATCAGGAGGGAATAAGGTAGTGTAGAGGGGATTACCTGAGGGGTGGGGAGTGTCTCTATAGCACTCTTAACAGTGGGCTACATGCTGGAGGCATACAAATGTTGGCAGCATGTCTAAAGGGGCTGAGCCAAGCCCATTTTCAAAATTCCAAGGATGGAAAGTGCCTTAACTGGAAACTTTTAGGGGTAGGAGTGGAATGAGGAAGCAAATGTAAGCTCATGTTGAGATGAAAGGGAGTTCTTGAAATAGCTGGTTCCTTGTCTGAACATGTGGGAAAGAGATAATTCTCTGGGTAATACAATGTACTCATTCTATCTTTCTCTATAACTTCCATTTATTGAGCACCTACTATGAGTCCGCAGCTTTGCTAGCCATTTCTCTTCAACGCCAGGGTTGACCCCATTGCAAGAGTAATTCCGTCCTGGGTTGGTCTCTCCAGCCACTCCCCAGGTCATTTCACAAGGCACATGGCAGGAGAGAAGAGGCAAGTTACCGTTTATGCTACAGAAGGAGAGCTGAGGAAAGTCCACTTACCTGGCCTGCCAGGTTGAAGTAAGAGTGGTTGGTCAGATTCACCGGCGTGGTCCGACTGGCCTGGGCTCGATAGTTGATCATAAGCTCCCCACCATCCAGCGTGTATGTCACCCAGACTTTCAGCTCTCCAGGGTAACCTTCCTCACCATCTGGACTGACTCTTGAGAGCTGGACACCATTTGACAGCATCCGAGGGGTCCAGAGGACCTAGAAAAGTGTTTTCAAAGCTGTTAAGTCATTGCAATCTCGAGCTAAATGCCACGTTTCAATATTTAAAGCTAGCTAATTCTAGGAAGAGAAATGGTTATATGATCTTCAAGATGTTTGAATAATAGCTTGGATTTTGATTGTTGTAAAATTTTGTTTTATACAAAAAAGTAGATCTTGAGAGAAAATTTTTTTCTTTCTCTTTACCTACTCATATTCCCCATACTCTTTCTCTTTAAACGTATATGTATGTGTTTACAATATTTTCTTCTTCCCCTTCTTTAAAATTTTTTTTTTTTATCTTGGTGCCCCATTCTGATAAATGTCATATAGCAAAATCTGCTAATGGTATTTAAAAAATGACCGTAATAAATCAGCCCCTCTTTCCCAGGGAAGTACTATCTATGAATATTTATAAAAAATGCTCCAAGATTCTATATTCCCTGGGCAGAGTTCCAAACAAGTAAGAAGGCACTTGTTCTATTAGGAAGAGTTCTGCCCACATGTCAGGAGTCCTGATTTGGAGGCCAGGTTTGTTCCTAGCTCAGTGTATGATGTCGGGCATCAGTCCCTGGCATAAAGGGGTTAAAAAATGATCTTGAAGTTTTCTTCTTATTCTAGAAAATATGGTTCTAAGGGTGGCAAGAAAAATATGAAGAAAAGTTTTCTAGAATTTTTTGCTTTTGGCAATAGGAATTTTTGATTCACACACAGTGGTTCCTCTTACCTTTGCCCTAGAGCCCTCAAGATTACCCTTACGGGGGAGGGACAACCAGGATTTCCTGAGTGCCCATGATGAGCCAAGACACTTTGCTAGGAACTTCACAGAAACTCTCTTATCTGTCTCAGAGCTGATTCAGTGTAGGCACCACTATCTTCATTTAACAATGAGAGAGCTGAGCTCAGAAAAAACAGTTTTTCCTAGCTTCTTCCAGCTGAGAAGACAGTGGTCTGATCCTGAGCTGTTTTCCTTATTCTATGCGATCAGAGGACATACTCTCCAGAGAGCCCAGTCCCTCTGGGGAGTCCTGGGGGTCACTATCAAGAGGTCTTTGCTGACAGGAGATGCCCATTTGTTCGGTGCTCACCAGCCACTGACCTGGTGCTTTACATAAATCATTTCATAAGGTAAAGATTTGGTTGAACCAAATGAAATGACCATCTTTGTAAGTCAAAACAGTTGAACACTGGCAATTTCAAATCGCTCCAACTAATACTACGACCCCATTTTACAGATGAGCAAATTGAGTTCTGTGGTGTTTCCTTGCCTACTTCCACCTCCCATATTCCAGGGGGATAGAGTAGAACCTTTTCATACTTCATGCTCATTGTTTAAAACTTTTTTTTTAAGATTTATTTATTTATTATATATATATATATATAGAGAGAGAGAATGCACACATGCACACATGCACGAGCAGGGGGAGGAGCAGAGGAAGAGAGAGTCTTAAGCAGACTCCAGGCCGAGCATGGAGCCCACTGCGGGGCCATGCCCACTGTTTAAAGGGGTAAAAAAATCTTGTTTAAAGTCATACATGTCATTAGTGACAGAACTAGGATTCAAACTCAGGCCTGGCAGTCTACACCATCCACATCTTCATTTCAGTGAATGTTTTGTTTGAATCTCCTTCTGTCAACAGAAGAGTTGAGGCCAAACACTGTCATTCCAAATAGACTTGAAAGATAATAATTTCTGTGGGGTCACAGGAATGGCCTTTGAGCCCGGGCTCTGCCCACCTGCTCCTAGCATGGCCTGGATCTCTGTCACTGATGTTGAGAGATCCCACATTTACCAGGAAGGGGAGCCCAGCAGGAGCGGAGGTCTCTGCATTTACCTACGGGAAAGCAGCTGGTATCTGAAACAAATTTACTGACCTTAGTAAAAAATTAATTTTACACCCTAGTTATCTCCTAGAAATGTTGAACTTTCAAGACACTTAAAATATAAAAGCCGGTTATATGCATGATTAAAAAAAGAAAAAAGAATCCCCCAAATGGAAAATTTTAGGAATAAAATATTTGAAATAAAGTGTTCTTCAATTGCTACCTAGGTCTTGTCCTTCAGAGAAAGAACACAGTGGAAAGTTTTTTGTGTAAACCAATATTATCAGATAAGAATAATTTTGTGGAACACACAATTTCTATTCATGGGAGAATATCCCTGACCCTGCACTTTCCGAATTTCCTGAAAAATTTCCACGTTTGCATCTCTAGGCCTACTTATATGCCATTTCTAATCCTGTTAAGTTATTCAAATTTCATCTTTTAAAAAAATCTGTTGATATAAATAGAAAAAGACATATCTACAAACCAGCTATTTGTTCAGTAATTGTTGAGATGAAATACAACTGGAAACAAAGTTCATCCAATACTGCTCATGTCACTGTGTGAAAGCTTACAGTTCAAAAGCTTTCAATATCTCCAGGATAACATTCCAAGTCTTTCCCCCACCGTTTCTGGGCTTCTGCACAGCCATTTTTTCCAGTACCTACTTACTAAATGAAATGCTATTCTTTCTTCAAGGATGGTTCCAATCCTCCCTCCTGAGTTGCTATGAATCTGTCCCCACCTGGTTTCTATAGCACACCACTGGCATCTATATGAGGGGGCTGGTTGCCTAGAACAGCTATTTATCGAAGGGTCTGGCTCCCTTGCTGTAGGGAAGTCTCAGGAATCCCCGCCATATTATGCTGCCCTGTTCACAGAAGGAACTCAGGAGGCACAGTGCACTGAAGGATGTGTTTACTCACTATTGGGCTGTGTTTTTACAGGGCACACATGTGAAGCAACACCACAGAAAACCCCACAGCGGAACAGAGGGAAGAGGACCAAGCCAGAACAGGTGCTGTTCTGAGGCTCTTCTGAAAATCCCTGTCAGAACAGAGCTGGGCCTAACTTCCTCTGGCTGGGCTTTGCCCATGGGCCTGCCATATTCCGGAGACCCTCTGCCCTAGTACTGCTAGGACCGAGGCTACCCCTTGCCTTCATGCCTTCCTGGTGTGAGGAGTCCGTTCACGGAGGAACAGGGAAGAGATGGGGCAGTGCGGTTCTAGGCTACAGACAGGAAGTCGGTGAGACAGGGGAAAGAGAGTGACCAACTTCCTTCAACAGGGCAGGAGGCAGTAAGAGGCAGAAAGGAAGAAACAGTGATCTTTAACTGCCATACACGTTCCAGTATTTTTCTGGCTCTTCTTTAGGAAATAAACTGGGGAGGGGGTATAATTTAAAGGAGAGTTAGCTACCAAAATTATCTCCCTGAAATTAGACTAGTAAGAGAGTCGCTGGGGGTTAACCCTCAGACTCCCACACAGCTAGGAAGCACACCAGGCATTTCTACTTCAGGGAGAAGCTGTCTGATCAGTTTGCAGTCCTAACCTTGTTTTTCCAGGGATTCACTTGGGGAATGGGAGTTTTAATGTGGAAAGAGGTAACTGGGGGAGGATCTGAGGTAATTTTGAGGCATGAGGCACTTCAGTGGAAGGCTACGCCTGGATGTGGCACCACACTGTGGGAGGGGGCCTTAGCGCCAGTTTCAGGGGTGTGTGTTGGACCGGGAGTGCCTACACCAGCGGTTATGTGTAGAAATGAGGGCTGTGGGCCAGGCCACCCAACCTAGGAGTTATATGGCCTTTCAGACCCTCAGATTTCTCATTTGGTGATAACGCAGGGCTCTCGTAAGCATGAGAGAGAAGATGTGCAAATGCCTTGTACAGTAGGTGGCAGGTACTAGTTTTAAGCCACTTTTCTGTTGCGCCCAAGGGCCACTGGACTTCCTGATCCCAACAAGGAGAAAGTCATTCCCTGTCTTTCCCTTTCACTCAGGGCTCCCCTGCCTGTTACAGTCTGAAGAGCTACAGAAGGATGGGTCCTGGAACAGGGCCAGCGCATCTGCTCCCCCCGAGTCCCTGGATCAGCCTCTTTCCTCTATCACCTCCCCACGCATTTGCTGTAGGGCCTAGGATTGGAGCCTGGAGAATAGATGGTATGTTGGAAGGTTCTCTGTGAAGTATGCCAGGTGAGGACTCTGTCCAGTGCCCCTGACTCACCTTATCAAACCCTCTGACTCCTCCATGCAGACTGTTGGGCCCATTGTTAATGGCCAGTTTATACTCCTTCCCGTCCAACGTGAATGTTCCTTTGGCAATTCTGTTGGCTACCCTGCCAACCACGGCTCCAAAGTAGGGCTGCTTTTGGAGGTAGCCTGCAGGACATGAGATGGAATGGTTTTTTAAAACTTCAAACCGAGGGTGAGGCTCACAGTGCTGCCCACCACTTTCTTCTGAGAGCAGCTGAAAGTAGGAACAACTTGGGCATATTCTTTTTTTTTTTTAAGATTTTATTTATTTATTTGACAGAGAGAGACACAGCGAGAGAGGGAACAGAAGCAGGGGGAGTGGGAGAGGGAGAAGCAGGCTCCGGGCCGAGCAGGGAGCCCGATGCGGGGCTCGATCCCAGGACCCTGGGATCATGACCTGAGCCAAAGGCAGCCGCTTAACCAACTGAGCCACCCAGGCGCCCCCAACTTGGGCATATTCAACTCCTCAGGGGAGCACAGGAAAATGGTGTTCTTTACATACGACGCTTTCCCTTTCCAAAAGTAATGCGTGTTCTTTATAAACATTGTGAAAGAACTTCATAAAGCACAAAGAAGAAATTTATTTTTTATAAAGATTTATTTATTTGAGCGGGGGAGGGGAAGGAGAGGGAGAGAGAGTCTTAAGCAGACTCTGCACTGAGCACAAAGCCCCACTTGGGGCTGGATCTCACGACCCATGAGATCATGACCAAGCCAAAACCAAGAGTCGGATGTGCAACCGACTGAGCCACCCAGGTGCCCCAAGAAATTTATTTTTTTGTAAAGATTTTATTTATTTATTTGAGAGAGAGAATGAGAGAGAGAGAGCACATGAGAGGGGGTAGGGTCAGAGGGAGAAGCAGACTCCCCGCCGAGCAGGGAGCCCGATGCGGGACTCGATCCCGGGACTCCAGGATCATGACCTGAGCTGAAGGCAGTCGCTTAACCAACTGAGCCACCCAGGCGCCCATCCCCAAGAAATTTAAATCATCCTAATCTCATCACCAGAGGGAACTATTGTTAATATTCTTATGTATAGCCTCCTGCCTTTTAGTACATGCAGACATGTGCTTTTCTTCTTCTTTTTATAAAGGAGTCTTAATTTACATGCTGCTTTGTAATCTGCTCTTTTCTAGGCCAATTTCCTTAACTAAACATTTCCTTAACATATATTTGTGTTGTCTTGAGAATTCTTCTTCTTTCTCTTTTTATTTTTTTTAGAATAATACAACTATTTCATGAAACTACCCTTTAAAGAGCATTAAACAAATATATAGAGTAGGCTTGTGAGAGGAAATACAGGACACCCAGCTGAATCTGAATTTCAGATAAACAATAAATAATTTTTTAGAATAAGTACAACCATATTATTATTATGCATGAGGCATACTTAACACTTGAAAAACCATTTGTTGGGGTGCCTGGCTGACTCAGTCAGAAGAGCATGTGACTCTTGACCTTGGGGTCATGAGTTCAAGCCCCAAGTTGGGTGTAGAGATTACTTAAATAAATGAATAAAAACTTCTTTAAGAAGTTTAAAAAAGCATGGGCGCCTGGGTGACTCAGTCGGTTAAGCGTCTGCCTTCAGCTCAGGTCACGATCCCAGAGTCCTGGGATTGAGCCCCGTGTCAGGCTCCCCACTTGGTGGGGAGCCTGCTTCTCCCTCTCCCTCTGCCTGCCTCTCTGCCTACTTGTGCTCTCTCTATCACTCTGTCAAATAAATAAATAAAATCTTAAAAAACAAGAAAAAAATAAAAAATTTAAAAAAACAACCAAAAAAACCCCATTTGTTATTTATCTGAAATTCAAATTTAATCAGGTGTCCTGTATTTTCATTTGCTAAACCTGGCAACCTTAATAAAGAGTAAAACATGAAAGGGGCTCCTGGGTAACTCAGTTGGTTACGTATCTGACTCTTGATTTTGGCTCAGGTCATGATCATGATCTTGGGGTTGTGAGATAGAGCCCCACGTCAGGCTCCATGCCCAGTGAGAAGTCTGCTTGAGATTCTCTCTCTCCCTTTGCCCCTTACCTGCCCCTCACCTGCTCTCTCTCTCAAACAAATAAATAAATCTTAAAAAAAAAAAAAAGAGTAAAACGTGAAAGTCCCTCTTTTATGCCTCAACTCTTCTTCTTCCCAGTGACAACCAATGCTAACAGTTTGGCGTATACACTTCCAGTATTTTTGTTTTTTAATTAACTATAGAGAAGGACGTACAATTACACAAATGCAATATTTATATAAAGAGGATCGTACTATGCACATTGTTTTGCAAGTTCTCATTTATCAAATGCCTTAAAATCTGTCCATGTGACTACAGATCCATCTACCATATTCCTTTTTTTTTTTTTTAAGATTTTGTTTATTTATTTGACAGAGAGAGATACCGAGAGAGAGAAAGCACAAGCAGGGGAAGCAGCAGGCAGAGGGAGGGAGAAGCAGGCTTCCCGTGGAGCAAGGAGCCCAACACAGGGCTCAATCCCAGGACCCCGGGATCATGACCTGAGCTGAAGGCAGACACTAACTTGACTGAGTCACCCAGGCGCCCTACCATGCTACATGGCATACTGATGAGCAAATTGTTGTGGGGCTTTTTAGTGGCTATAAAAAGCAATGTGCTTGTGCCCTTTTACTTACAAGTCTGTGTACAGGAATGTTACATAGATCTTTCCTTCTCTTTAAGTTCCTCTACCATACGATTACAATGGTAGAGACTAAGGTTTGGAGGTAGTTTGTTTTTTGCATTATCACTAGCATCACTGTCTACTCTGTTTTTCACTCAGATGCCCTTGGAATTCCATCCCCCTTTCCTGTGGTACTCTGTATCCATCCCGTCTATGTGGATGAGAAGAGTATATAATTCTCAGGGAAAAACCACCTCACACCAGTCAGAATGACTAAAATTAACAAGTCAGGAAATGACAGATGTTGGCAGGGATTCGGAGAAAGGGGAACCCTCCTACACTGTTGGTGGGAATGCAAGCTGGTGCAACCCCTCTGGAAAACAGTATGGAGGTTCCTCAAAAAGTTGAAAATAGAGCTACCATATGATCCAGCAATTGCACTACTGGGTATTTACCCCAAAGATACAAACGTAGTGATCCGAAGGGGCACCTGCACCCCCGTGTTTATAGCAGCAATGTCCACAATAGCCAAAACATGGAAACAGGACAGATGTCCATCGCCAGATGGATAAAGAAGACGTGGTATATATATATAATGGAATACTACCCAGCCATCAAAAAAAGTGAAATCTTGCCATTTGCAACAATGTGGATGGAACTAGAGGGTATTATGCTAAGCGAAATAAGTCAATCAGAGAAAGACAATTATCATATGATCTCCCTGATATGTGGAATTTAAGAAACAAAACAGAAGATCATAGGGAAGAGAGGAAAAAATAAAACAAGACAAAAATCAGAGAAGGAGACAAACCATAAGAGACTCTTAATCATAGGAAGCAAACTGAGGGTTGCTGGAGGGGAGGGAAGTTTGAGGGATGGGGTAACTGGGTGATAAACATTAAGGAAAGCATGTAATGTAATGAGCACTGGCTATTATATAAGACTGATGAATCACTGACCTCTACCTCTGAAACCAATTAATACATTATATGTTCATTAATTGAATTTAAATTAAAAAGAAAAGAAAAGTATGCAATTCAAGCATATGAATTTTTACCATGGCTGGAGGGGTTCTCAGGATACAGACCTTGAACCATTAGGCCAGTTACAGATCGTAGGTTCCCATTACTCAGCCGGTTGGGCACAAGTGAAACATTAACCATTCTCTTCCAGGTCTCTCCTGATTCACTCCCCTGCTAACCTGCAGGTCCTCAGAGTCCTGCTCATGGACTATCATAATAGCTAACACCGAGTTCTTCCTAAGGCTCGGCTACTTTCTAAATGCTCTACGTTTAACTCATTTCATCTTCAGGATAGTTCTACGAGCTAGACAGTATCATTACCCTCCTTCTATAGGTGTGGAAACTGAGGACAGAAAGGCTAAGTAACTTGCCCCCAAACACAGCTAGTTATCAGAAGAACCTGGATTTGAACAGTCTGGCTCCTAAAGACTTATTCTGAAGCATCACATTATTTGAAAACAAGGCTTTCTGATGAATTGATCTTACTACCATCCCTTCGCATAGGCCAGACTGACCTCTCCACCAGCGCCCACCTCCCTCCCCACCCTCCTCTCTTTCTGAAGCTGCAGCTTTAAAACTCCTTACACTGGGTAACCAAAAGGAGTTCCAATGGGCCAGGAAAACTTTTCTTGGTTTTGCTTCATCTACTTTTGTTTTTTTAGTAACTTTATTTTTAAAAGATTTTATTTATTTATTTGTGAGAAAGAGCACAAGCAGGGGGAGAGGCAGGGGGAGAGGCAGGCTCTCTGCTGAGCAAGAAGCCCCATTCAGGACTCGATCCCAGGACCCTGGGATCATGATCTGAGCCGAAGGCAGACACGTAACTGACTGAGCCACCCAGGCATCCTAGACTTTATTTTTTAGAGCAGTTTTAGGTATACAGCAAAATTGAGCAGAAAGTACAGATTCCCCATACATCCCCTGTCCCTGCACATGCATAGCCTCTCCCATTACCAACACCCCCCATCAGAGAGACACAATTCTAATAATTGATGAACCCACACTGACATAATCATTGTCACCCAAAGTCCCTAGTTCAACAGTAGGGCTCTCTCTTGGTGTTGTACATTCTATGGGTTTGGACAAATGAATAATGATATGTATCCATCATTATAATACAGAGTATTTTTGCTGCCCTAAAAATCTTCTGTGCTCTGCCTACTCATCTCTCCCATCCCCCTAGCCCTTGGCAACCACAGATCTTTTTACTGTCTCTATAAATTTGCCTTTTTCAGAATGTCATAGTTGGAATTGGGTAGTATATAGCCCTTTCAAATGGGCTTTAGTGGCTCTTTGTGGCTTGACAGTTCATTTCTTTTTAGCATTGAATAATATTCCATTGTCTGGATGTACCAGTTTATTTGTCCACCTACTAAAGGACATCTTGGTTGCTTGTTTTGGCAATTATGAATAAAGCTGCTTATAAACACCTTTGTGCAGGGTTTTTTGTGGACATAAGTTTGTGTGTGTGTGTGGACA